CGATACAATACCGCTGCACGCTTATCTGGCCCCTATTGAAAAGACGCCAGCAGTGCACTGTGCCGGTTTTGGAACAAAAGAAACTTACGTAACACCGCACAATCTGGTCTCTTTTTTACAAGGCAGCAGGCCTGACTGAAATATTCAGGGAGTCAATGAAGGTCACCTGCCAGCTTTGAATAGCCACCAAAGAGTCTGTGTGAGTGTAAACATCCGCTAAATGAAAGGATGAATTTTTGAAGAATTTTGAAAACTTAAAATCCCCCGTATGTGTGCACTGCACTTTTATAAGCACCTGGCAGCATGTGGTCAAAACAGCCTCACAGTTACAAGTCGTGTTCCTCAGTAACTTTCCACCTTCTCTTCATTGAGAGACAGAATTTTTGTGTCTGTTTTATTCTAAATCGTTATGTGGTCTGAATATTTTTCAAACTAAAACTTGATGGGATATCAACAATGAAATCTGAACAGTAGCCCCACAATTATTTCTATCCCTTAGTAGTCCCAAGCTTTAAAAAGGAGTTCAGATACTATTTAACAGTTGTGTCATGCAACCTGACTCCATTACTTACTAATCATAATTCCTATTAACTAGGAAGTCTTTAATGTCCATACTTTATGACTCTCAACACTTTCTTTTGATATTTCCTTTTTTTCTTCATTGTTTGATACTGACTAAGTGTAGAAAATATCATACACTATGACTTTAAATTAAATACAGCATTAAACAATGGTGTAAGCCGATGTCAATGTCAATACCCCACCACACTAAAAGAAAATCTCATGGTGCTCCCCCAAAACATACAACAGTATATCAGTCACACGGAATCTTGGCATTTATGAAGTAATTGAAGGTATACTTCAGGTTTTGGGCCCACAAGGATGATGATATATTTCAGGTTTCGGGCCCACAAGGATGATGATTGTGCCAAAACACAAAAAGTTTTTTTTTCTAAAAAGCTACGTAAGCCAAACATACATTTTAATCTAAACATTTCAAACACAAAGGTTCATGCATACTGGTCACGCGAAACAAACCTAATTGTCATAAGAAAAAACCACACAGGCCTAAGTACGATCATGCTGCCACTTGAAGTCCTTACACTGGCCGGCGTAATGATCAGCACCGGCTACACTAAATTGCATGGACTGCAGTTAAAGTTGTTGATCTCATCTCTGTGATTGGAGGTGAAACAAACCGAAAACAGGTCTACACCCTCTGGAGTCAAATCAATTCTAAAATAATCTCAAATAAAGTGAATCTGCCACCTCTGGACGAGTATTTAATCATCTCTGATGTGAATATAAAGTTCCCGGCAAAATATTTATCGGCCGAAACAAGTCTCCTAGCTGTGGTCAAACATGCCCACAAGCAAGGTTGCTGTGTTCCTAGGGATCTTATACATAAGTCAATATTGTTTTCCTAACTGGGAACAGACTATTTGAAAATGCAGACACTGTGTGCTCACAGGAATGTCCCAAATTAATGGCTGTTTGACCACTTGCTGCTGGGGGACCCACTTTTGAGCATATCAGCTTTATACTCAGAGCTGGGAGAACTCAAAACCTGGACAAAAGAAATGGGCTTGGAACAAAAGACCATGCTCAGCACAAAAGACTGAGCTATTCGGCATTACCGACATTTTTTCACTCGCAATAGTGGAGATAATCCAGCCTTGTTTTGAATCAGTATAACGCGGTTTGGGCATTCAGAGCGAGCGGATTACCACCAGGGAGAAAAGCACTCCACCACCACAATGATAAGCCACACAGCACCGCTGCACACTAATCTAGCCCCTATTGAAAAGAGGTCAGCAGCACACTGTGCCAGGTTCATGAACAAAAGCAACTTATAGAACACTACATAATCTGGGTTCTTTTTACAAGGCTGCAGGTCTGGCTGAAATACTCGGGGGGGGGGGCAATAGATTTTGTGTGTCAGGCAAGAGTGGCAACCAGAGAGTAACGCATAGGGGTGTAAGCGTCCATTGATTTAATAATGAATTTTTTACGATTTTTGAAAACTGAAAATCTTAATTCGCCCGTATGTGTGCACTGCAATTTTCAAACAACCCAGAAGCATGTGGTTAATGTTTAATGAAGGCTGTGCAGAAAGCAGCAAGAGTATCAAGGGTATTCATGAGATTGGTAATTTACATTGGCCTTGCATATTGCATTCCATCCGCAGGCATGTCCAGTTGTCAAGGGGTCTTTTCTTTGGCAGGGACTAGGGTGCTCTCTGTGATTCTGTGGGACGTCTACGGCATGAACAGTTGGTCAATTTCACAATGCCATCTTAATGCTATCGAGTGGAATACCTCTTTTTTTCGATCGTTTTCATTGATCAACGACAATAATTGGTAGGGTAATCGTTCGTCACTCTTTTTTGTTGTTGGTTTCAGATAAACGGTTTTGAAATGTGGAACAGAATTTGGGAATCAAAACCAAACAACTGAGAATCCAATTCGGGCCCTACAACTAGTTGGCAGGTATGGCACATGGAAGTGAAGTTTATGACTGCAAAACACTTCTTCGATAAACTGGTGCCTATCTGAAAAATAATTTACATAGCTGTGAAAAGTCAAGGGGCTCCAATTTTTCGTCATTGGAGTACTTGGCAAGCTAATGGGCTTATTTCATAAAAGCCCTATGAAGACATCGAAATATACAACCCAGGATCAACAGCGAGGGAAAGCCTTTAAAATTTTTTGATTTTAAAACAAGGAAACTTCAAGGTACATGTAAGTTAAGATCTCAACCATGCTGCACTTACGCAAATCCGTAAAGTAACCTTGATCTGAAGTATATATGTATACATATTAGTAATGGTTTTATTTGAGTATCCCATTATATTGTATATTGTGTAGCATTACTATATTGTCAAAGTGGCAAAACAAAAATGTTGAACACATTACTACATGATTAAAATGACACTGAACTGACTAAAGCAAAGAGATTTGGAAATTATTTTGAAATTTAAGTCATCAAAACTTCTTGCCGGGGACTCCAGAATCAGAGACGTATGGTTTATATGCTTGACCGGGGTCTCCGAACTCGGACAAAGGAAACAGGGCCCTTTAACAAAAGACCATACTCTGAACAAAAGACCAGGCTGCTGGGCATTACCGACATTTCTCACCCTCAATCCAGCCTTCTTTTGAAACCGTATACCAGGGTTTGGGGCATTGAGAGCAAGTGGATTACCACCGGGGACAAAAGCTCTCCACCATCGCAGCGATGAGCAACACAGCACCGCTGCATGCTAATCTGGCCCCTATTGAAAAAAGGTCAGCAGAACACTGAGCCAGGTTCGTGAACAAAAGACAGTTATACAACAC